TCGGTTTTGTAAATGTAGATTATTACACTGCGCGTCAGAGAAACGGGCCACCCAAAAATTATGTATCTTGATTAATTAAGTTTCTTATTTTTTAATCACGTAAAACGGGTTAGTTTGCATACTTGCGAAGTCATGCCAACCCTGTAAAGATCATAAACAAATTTTCGGAACCGAGTAAACCAAAAAAATTATCAGAATACTTTTTTACCCGTCAATTAAGTTTCATGAAAGTGACTGTTTTGAGAAATTTATGAACTTGTATTGAGTTATAGAGTATTAAAGGTATTTTTGTACTACACTGATCTTCGTAAAGTGTAATCCTTAATAATGGATGAAGAGCTATTCAGATTGTAACATTATTGGAAAATGGAGCAAGTCAACGGAATGTGGCGAGACAATCAAATGTCAGTCGTTCGACTGTGCAAAAGACACACCAACTTGCGACCCGGTACAGGTGCTAAAAAAAAACAACAGCCAGGGAAGATCGCTTTACTCATCATTGCTGCTTTACGAGACCGACCCCAAACTGCTCCAAAGCGGTTTTCAGTAAGCAAGGTTAAGAGAAAGTGGTTTGACAGCTTGCAGTCCAGCTACAGGACCCTTGCTTACTGCAACACACAAAAGATGCAGACTTGCTTTTGCTCGCGAACATATGAATTGGACAGTGGACGATTGGAAAAATGTACCATTCACGGATGAGTGTAGAATGTGCATATATGGAAAAGATGGCCGAAATAAGGTTTACAGAAGAGCTGGAGAACGTTGTGCTGCCTGTACTCGAGTTGTTTTTGGGGGTAGCTCAGTAATGTTTAGGGCAGGAATTTATTTTGAGGCACACACAGATCTCGTTATTATTGCTAGAGGCTCATTAACATCACGACGATACATAACAGAGATCCTAGAAGAGCATGTAATGCCATATGATAGGTTTGTTGGCAATGATTTGCTGCTAATGCAGGATAATGACCACACGGCAAGGATGGTAACACAATACCTTGAAGAGGTTGGTATTCCCAAAATCAATTGGCCTCTTGTAAGCCCGGATCTCAATCCTATTGAGCATGTTTTGGGACCAGCTCAAAAGGCGTGTAAGACGTCGGATACCTATTCCAACAACACGCGAAGAGCTTCGTTTTGACCTTATTGAAGAATGGATCACTTTTCCTCAAGCAAACATTCATACCTTGCTGATTTCTATGCCAAATCGAATGAGGAGTGTCTTTCAGGATCGGGGTGGTAATACGCCGTATTGAAAAGTGATCCTCACCATTTACTGCCTCTTTAATTTTATTATTGCAAAGTAAACTGTAACTGTAATTTTTCAATAAATTTATTTCTCAATTTTTTTGCTCTTTTCGTTTGTGACTTATGGTAACATCGGATAACATGGTAAAACAATTACTGACAATACACAATAGATTTACTATTATAAAAATAAGATATATTTAAAAAGATGAATTATTTCGAAAAATTTTTAGGTGTATTGTAATTTTCATTAATTTTTTGCCAGTTATTTTTAACGGCAGCGATATACCTTACCGATTAAGTTTGGACTTTGACCTAGATTTATAACTGACATAAGAGGGGTATATTCTGTAACGTTTTAGTTAATTTTAACCGTCATTTATAACCATAACGTTTAAATTTTAACCCAAATCTGTATTTAATATTCCATCAATTTAATTTTGTGTTATTAGCTATTTTACAACCAATCGAAGGTAAAATAGACATGGCAACGATGTACAATCTCTAAAAGTAAATTGAAATTAAGTCCAACGCAGTATTAATAAGAAAAAATATGTAGCATGTAATCATTACTAGATTTATTACTAACACTAACATAAGTTATAATTTTAACCAAATAATATAAAATACAAAATTAAAGATATCTAGTTATTTTTATAACCCAGGGTTAATTTTAAGCAAATTTTTACAGAATAGACTGTAACCGTCCGCGCCCATACCCCTGTTGATCGTTGCTTATTCTCTGAAATCTTATTATTTACCTCCCAATTTGGTTTTACTTCAAATTCTATACTTACTGCATTTGGCCTTTTTCCTCTAGTAGTGGTCGTAGGAGTGATTGTCTAGTTCAGAGGTCTCCAAACTACGGCACGCGGGCCAAATCCGGCCCGCCAGTGTCATCAATCCGGCCCGCGACAGCTAATGGCTTATTGTTGCTACGATAAGTTGGATAAAAAAAACAGAATGATAGTAACTCTGATTTATTTACTTGCTAGGTATAGCTTAATGACGAAGTGCAATATGCAGAAAATTTAACCTAAGCATAATAATTAACAAATAATTGAACTAAATTCCACTAACATTAAAAACTAGTGAACATCCCGGGGTTTCACCCTCGGTAGTTATGTTGGGGTAAAGAGTATCATATATGTATGTATATCGATGTTTGGAATGTATATATTCTAAATTACATATGCTTTTTATCCTGATAATCCCTCAGGAACGGGGGCTAGGGTTTCAATGTCCAGTAGCAAAAGGATTTTGAAAAATCTTAATTTCATTCGCAATGGCATCAAATTCTGAGAAACGAGTATCAAAATTTATCTTCAAAGCACTAAAAGCTTCGATTGCAAAATCGACGGGAAACTCAGTCTCAGTAGTGTGGCTGAATATTTCACGTTTTAAAATGTGTGAAACATTTTTTACATAATAGTATTATTTTTTGCCCAAACGATTTTATATTAGTATATAAATCAGGGAGAAGCTGGTTTTCTCCTTGCAATCTCAAATTCAGTTCGTTCACCCAGACAACACACCAAATCCCAGAGATATCCACAGAATATCTTTTGTGGATATCCAATATATCCACAGGATATCAGAAATATTCCGTGGATCTAATATGGATATCCAAATGTCCGTCTATATCCAGAATATAGAAGATATCCTAATGGATATCCAGCAAAATATCTAATGGGTATCTTCCAGAAAATACAAGAAATCCCAGAGATATCCACAGAATATATTTTGTGGATATTCAATATATCCAATATGGATATCCAATCAAATGTCCGTCTATATACCAGGATATAGAAGATATTCGGATATTCAGCAACATATTTTATCTTTAGTAGAGGTTCATAAGTAACCAATGATTATTGAATAACGTCGAAAGAAAATAGCAGAGATAAATATTTTCCTACGACCACTTAGGAAAGTGACACATATCACACTATATAGTCCTATGGAAAGTTCCCTATATCACACGCGTATAAATAAGAATTTACTTTCCATCCGTGTACGAATATGTTACTTTCCGCAGTAGTTGTCACAAAATGTCAAACACCTAATTTCTATTTTGATCTATGTAATGTCCATATTAATACTAAATTCGATATGATTGTTAAATTATTGAAATTGTTGTAAATTAGATCCTAGATATTTATCTTTAACAATTATTATTAAAATAATTTTAAAATGTTTGCTCTTTATTCTGGTTAAATACATAACCGATTAGATCATTCAATTGACACAAGGGCTATTAGCTCAGGTGGTTAGAACATCGAACTAATCAACTTTGCCATTTGAGACCGCGTTCAAATCCTGGCGGGGCAGAATTTTTTTTTTGTTTTTTTTTTTATTTTTTTTTAGTTTTTTTTTGTTTAGAAAATATGAGAAATAAATACGATTATTGTTAATTATTTTTTTAAATGTATTTTAATTATTATAGTAATAATAACCTTGGTTTTACATTTTTTAATGACATTATTTTGTGGTCGTAGGAAAAATATTGTACATCACTTGTGTCAAAAGTGATTTTCCACACTCGTAATGTAATATACTATTCAACACTCAAAATATTTTCAACACTCTGCCCACTAAGGAGAAAGTCATCCTTATTAGGAATCTTCAGCAATAAATGGAAATTCTCGACTCCAGTCTCTAATGGAGTCTGATTAGAACACAAATTTCGATCGAACTCAATTACGGCGAGTCGAGCATGAGTAGATGAGCAAGTGGTATCGCCATCTATACTTAGTAAGCAAAATCAAATAATATCTAGTGGATATCCACGATGGTTTGCGTTCGCGCCTAGACTTTGATATATCGGGTGTTCAACTTAAAGCGTTACAGCTATATACCGCTTTTTATAAAAAAAAAAACGTTTCAGACGAAAGTTTTATAGTTTTGTGGGGAAAAACTTTTGGCTAAAATCGTTTTTCATAGCTAACCATAATATGGCTAACTTTTTTTTCGCGCAGCAACATTTTCAAGTAGCTGTTACTCAAAAAGTAAAAGTCCAATAAAAAAAATATTTCCCTCAAACGTTTCTTATTTTTTTATGTACTTTAAGAATATGTAAGAAAAAAATGGAATTCCCATTTAAAAAAACAAAGTTCACCTCGATATGGCCATATTATGATCAGCTATAAAAAAATGAATTTAGCCAAAATGTTTCCCCCAAAAAACTATAAAACTTTTGTCTGAAACTTTTTTTTCTAAAATGCATATTTTCAGCGGTATTTAACTGTAACACTTTAATTTGAACACCCGGTATATATTTAGTGGATGTCCATGGGATATTGAATACACCTTAAAAAAAATTAATTTTAAATATCTGAACGGTACTATTAGCCACAATGGCGCAATTTTTTAATAATTTGCTATATAATTACTTTTATTTATGGACATTTGCATGTCTATAAAATAAATTACATATGGATATAAAATAGATATCCACCATGGACTGGACATTCAGTGGATATTGGGATGTGCAGTAGATATCCAAAGGATTTGGTGTGCTGTCTGGGCATGTGTTTTATTAAATCGACATAGAATGAATACTAACTTCCACAGCCATTCGCTATTTTGTAATTTGGTAAGAGGGCGATGCTTTTCATTCAAAAAAATTTCGATCACTGCTCGAAGTTCAAAAAAAAGCTGAAGGATTTTTCCGCAACTAAGCCAGCGTACGGCAGTATGATATGGTAAATCACTTTCTCCCAACTCTTCAATAAACTCGCGGAATTGTCGGTGATTTAGCCCATGATGACTGGTTTTAGAACTTCAGACATGTCCAAACATTTTCCGCACAAGGACTGTTGATGAATGATACAATGTAAGACTAATGGATTTGAACCACCAACATTTTCTACAGCCTTTGACACAAGAGCAACCACTCCTTTATTTTTACCACACATGTTTTTGCCTCTATCAGTTGTAAAAGATTTCAAGTTTTTCCATCGAAGATTCTTTTTTATTAATGGCATTTTCAACTCCCTTAAAATATCTTCCCCAGTAGTCGTGCCATGAATACTAACAATATCAAGAAGTTCTTCATACACTTCATAGCTTTTATCTATTCCTCGAATAAAAATCACAACCTGAGCAGTCCAAGGCCAGAGAAAACCACTCAAGATGTCCATTTTTGTCAGATGGTTGAGATACAATAGTTGAGATGATATATTTTCTGCAATGTCTTGTACCCTCCAAGCAACGGCGTTTGCTGACAAACTGACAGTTTTAAATAAATTTACCTTTTCGGGGCACATTTCTTCGGCTACTGCAATTACGCATTCTTTGATTATTTCTCTATCAGTGAATGGTTTTCCACGTTTTGCGATTTCAAGAGCCACACGAAAGCTGGCACGAGTTGCAGCCTCTTGTTCAATATTGACTTTTGTACAAAGATTGCTGTGATTTCAATCCGCGCTTCAAAGCTTCAAATTTTTCTGTCCGCATACTTCCTGTATATTTTGAAAATGTTTCGATTCATAATGACGTTTAATGTTATTATTCTTTGAGAACGGTTATGGTTTCATTGCAAATCAAACCTTATTACTGGACCCAATCACGAAATATTGAAAGTTCCATTGATCTTTGAATGTTCTGCATTCGCTTCTTTTCCATACTAGTAAATCACACAAATCTGTTCGAAAATGTCTTTTAAACGTGGTTACGTACTACTTTATTTCACAACAGACAGTTTCGCTTCCTTTGCCTTTCCTAGACCGAGTGACTCGCGCGCGCGCCCACACACACACACAGTAATTGAGCCCAAGTCGGGAAGGTTCCCATCCTGTTAAACTGGATCGGAATCCTCCTGTCGACCACCACCCCCCCCCCCCCCCCCCTGACTGCTTGGTTTCAGGGGGCCTCAATTTCCATCCTATGAAAGGGCTGTGAAGGATGACATATTATCAGCATTTAGACAGGGTTTGCTGAAAGCTCCCCCAGTCTCATACTTGGCGACTGGAGGGACCTTCGTCCCCAGGTGGTTAGTCGTCAGTACTGACTCGCGGTCGCACCCTAGCCTTTTTATACTCCAATTACTGCCATCTCGAAGCGAGTGGAATACACCAGAACTTTCTCAAACCATTGATGTTATTCACGAAATTTTGTTACTGAGATTCCGACAGTACTACCGTTGTATGAAGATAATATAGTAGGATAATGCAACAGTAAAAAGTGTTGGATGCAATCTCGAGGGGCATCTAGTGACGATTTAATGAAGTAGTCAATTTTTAATGCTATGCAGATACGCCATCTACGTCTTCTTTTCGTTCAGGCACATGGCCTCTATCACCTACCTATTATAGTTAAAAACATCTTTATTTATTTAAAAATAACAATTTATGATAAAAGACATGAAAAATTAAACATAATAATGAAAATTTATTCCAGTTGACAAAACCGTACGAATAAAATTTTTGGATTAAGGTGATAAAAAGTGGTTAAGGACTTTGGTCAACATTTTGGTTATGTGCGGTTATGTCAAAATATATAAACAATAACAAAGAATACCTAATAACAACTTATAACAATGTCCAATGTTTTAAATAAATTGAAAAGTTCCAAGTAGAAAACAAAAAAGGAATAAGCTTCTGAAAATGTTGCATGTAATCTAAGTACCTCTAATTGGACTAAGTGTTGGAAAAGTTTATAACCATAAAAATAGCTGAATATTTTTATAGTTTTCAAAATTTGAACAAGCTTTGCTACAAAATTTCATCAAAGCTATCAACAGTTTGCAAGATATTGAGTTAAGGAACAAGAAAATCACACTAATCAGGGAAAAATCAATCAACACTGGAAAACAACTTAAAAATAAAGTAGTCACAGGGATATATTAGCGACTTTCAAATGTATCTTGGCTGTTGATCATGAATATAAGAAAAAAATGTTCTCTGAGTGTTGAAATAAATCACCTTGAAAGGAAGTTTTCAATAGCTCCACTCTTTAGGAATAGCTCAAGACGAAATCAATAGACCTACAAGTGGTCTATCTGTGGCAGACATATTCAGTTAGTCTTTATATTTCATTATGCAATGTTACAAGGTTCAGCAACTTGCCAAAATGGTTAAAATTTATTTCCAAAATCAGTGCTCTTATTTAGTACAGAATTCTATGAACGACACAATAATTATAAAGTCCTAACTTTGAACATAAAAGAAAATCTTATAAAAAAACATTTTTTTATATAATTTATCACTGTTTGGAAAAGTATATTTGTTTGTAAAATATTTGTATTTACAGTTATATTTAATCCAGGTTAAGTGCGAGGTTAAGTGTCAGTGCGCGAGTATAATGTTAAGTATGAACAAAATCCGCCCATTCTGTTTATATGTTTGGTTACCGACCCTAGTAGATAGGCTATTTGTTATTACTTTTAATTTAGATTTTGGATTAACGTTTTTGTATATGACTTGGCTGTTTAGTAATAAATGAAGTCAAAACTCTAACACGTGGTTTTATTCTGGAAAGTATTTTTAAATTGAATCACGCACGCCGTTCAAGTGAAAATGTTTTAAGTAGTTCAAAACAACAATCACTCTTTTTCATTGTTTATAGAATACAGCCTTTCAGTTAGCTCAGAAAAAACTGATTAAATAAATAAATTAATGTCTTATTATTTTTTGAATTTTTTTTATTTTGACTGGTTGACTATCTCAAAAATTAAAGCCAATCAAGCAAAACGTGAGTCACATTTCGCTTTTTTAGAAGAACAATAATGCAAGTGAAAATTAATGATTCCACAGAAATAGCAAATTAAAGAAAATGTAATATAAAACTTACAACTAAGACGTTAAAGAAAAGTTTGGAAATAATCGATGGGGACTTCGAGATAGCAAATTTATTTTAGTTTTAGACAGAACTACTTTATTTTATTCGTTTTGAAACAATTGAAGATTTATAGGCCGGAAAAGCGATTTTAAACTGAATATTCAGTCCAATAGGCTCTCGACTGAAATCCTTTCCATTTTTAGAATATTATCTTTTAAATTCAACAATTTTATGTTTTGTTCCAACACGGATTTTAATAATAGATTTATAAATTGTTTTTGTTTATTTGAATGTTAAAAGTTCTTAAAACTAACTTTAACATATATTTCCCATGCTGGCGCTTAGTGTTAAAATAATGAGACGATTAAACGAAAAAGGCTTACGAGAGCCAGTTGCCCTCTTTTGGTACACATTTGTACAAGGCAACTTTACAAATGTTTCCTCCTTTTTTCTCTTGTAGAAGATGGACACGCAGTGGAGCGCACAATGATGGTATTTTAAAAAGCCACGTCACATATTTGATTAGATAATTAACTTGATATAAGTGCCTTCAAGACTTAAGTCGTTAAGCATTCAAGTTTGGATTTCCCAACCCAGATTTTCAATTACATATAAAAACATTCTTTCTTATTTTGGAAAAAATATGAAAAATATAATTAATGCAATCTTTCTGCTAAATTTTGTAGTATTTTGATAACAGTTCAGAAAAAAATAGTAGTAGTCAGTAACTGATCTTTACGAAACCCAAAGTTGAGCACTTAACGTCCTGAGCAATGAAAGTTTATGTCAATGTTAATTATCTAATCAAATATGTAACATTCGCATTTTCTATAATTTATTTTTTAAGACGCCTTCGTTGAGAGCTTCATCATTGTAGGACATGCAGCAAAGTATTTCCATGTACAAAAAAAAAAAACAATGAAAAATTTTTAATTTTGCCTTTCGAAAATAATACTCCTAAATGTGCCTACCATAAATTGGTACTCGATTCGTTTTCAAATGGTGTCAAAAGTTGAAAACTGAAAATTAGTGGCTTACATGTTTTTATTACTTAGTATAATTTCACTAAACGTGTTTGGTATTATGTTATAAGTTTACCTAACAGCAAAAAAATCTGTTAGTTAAATTTTGTCAGTGCCGATTTTAGTAAAATTATATTGAATAAAATTATAACTACCTATATATTTACCCATTATTACTTTTTTAATTTTTAACTTAACATCCTGTATTTCAGAACATTTTATCCAAACATTTTTTATTTTCGTCTATTCGTCTCATTTTGAACAATAATATTCAGTTGTTCATGTCCTATTCTTAATTTGATGATACCATTAAATAAAAGTGAATATAAATTAACAGCGTACAACTCAAGTTTAATTAACCATCAGCGATATATCCAAAATCCAACCACAATATAGAAAAAAATGTTCCCTATTATAGTAAAATTCCACCCAATCTCATCTAATTCAATCTTTTTCAAACAAAAACTGGTTTATTTTATTATATCGATTATTTTCGCATTTTATGTGACCTTCAAATACCCTGTATTCTGTGCTTTTGTAATAATTTGAAATAGTAAATTGTAACTATAAAAATACATTACCGAAGACAAGTAGAAATGAAAAAGAAGATTTTAAATTATAATTCATACTCAAGCACAGACATGACCTAAAGACCTGACTTGGACATAAGTACAGTATCGCCATCTACATTCTATGTCCATCGTCCTCCAATGATAAGTCCATAAGGTTACCCTACTATATTTCTTCATACAACGGTACTACTAGCGCCATCTGTTAGACATAGAGGGTACTGCCACTACCTATTTCCGCTTTTGACCACCAGATTTCGTCAAGTGTCACGGTCGTAACAGTACACAATAGCGTATGCTCGCCCAGGGCGCGTACTGGGTGGACTAGTCTAGAAAATTGCAGAAAAATTAAAACGGTTTTGGCCCTTGGAACTTACTAGAATAATCATTATGGCCCTAAGACTGGAAAGTTTGTAGACCCCTGGTCTAGTTAATTAATTGATAATTTATATACCCACGTTGTGATAATGTTAATTAAGATAAACCAGGATTCGTTGCAAAGTTTGGTGCTAATTGGTAATGTAATGCAATAATTTACAAAGTCCTGTTCAAACGCGAACCACGTTCATTTGCTATCAAGATATATTTTATTTAGCTTGATGACCAACGGAGTTAACAAACATCTTCAATTCGCCACTTGGTTAACTTACTGTGTTGAGGTTTATATTTTTTAGTTTGATTTTATCCTAGATATACACAGGATTGTATTCCTTTAGGTATTGATTTCGACGAGCATAGTGCTGATGACCAACGGAGGTAACAAACAGCGTCAATTCGCCAGTTGGTTAGCTTACTGTGTTGATTTTCTCATATACTTTGTTTCAATGAATGGGTGGCTTAGTATAGCTTAAGCTAATGAACAGTGTCAATTCACCAGTTGATTAACTGACTCATAAATTTTACCATCTCGGCTTGCATAATTTATCCAAGATAATACATCCTAGTATATTTCTAAAATATTGATTTTTATAATTTCTATTGAAATGACTCAAATTCACCCATCGAAAAACAGATGTCTAACCTAACCGTCCTTCGGGGTAAATGCCCGAAGGCCATGTGGTTTATTCGGTTACATTGATATTTTGAAGAAAATGTAAGGCCCTTGTTCAAACGAAACCCCGGTGGTATCTCAAAGAAAGTTACATAAATCTTTTCGACTCACCATTGAAAATACAGACATTAGATTCGTCTATACTAGACATTATGTAATTTTACCTAGCGTTGTGACGGCGTCGATTTAGGTACGTCGCAGCGTTGAGCGTCGCCTTGCATCGAGGCGCCTAGCGTATTGGTGAAGATATTTATTACGGTACTGCATCGGGACAGATATACGGTAGAAAATACTTGGTGGTGCTGTGCGACAAAGGGTGTCGTCAAGGATATTACGAAGGAAATATTAAGGGACGGCAAGCGTCGAGAAATAAGGCGTGGGACGTTGACAGCGTTCAAGTAATAGGAGGTATTGTAGTATAGACGTCGATTAGGAAAAGCGTCGATTTAGGAAGGTACTGAATACTGAACTTGCAATATAACTGGATACAATAATTGAATGAATATAAAATCATAATGAATCTCGAGTTCATGTATTTATACCCGTTTTAATGGCTTTTTGTGACGTCAGTTTGTCGTGGCTCCGGTGGAACGAATTTGGATGGATTAAAAGGGGTGGGTAGATTTATTATGTGCCTCGAGAAATTCTCGGAATTTTGTATCGAAATCTTGTCGAAATTGGTATTAATATTCGAACTGACTTACGATAGCGCGTTAAGTGTTTTAATGATTACTTCCTGAAAAGAAATGTTTATGAAGATTTTTGGATCGAATTCTCTTGGGATAATTTTTTATCTTTTCTGTAATATTAGAGACCCCGTAAGATTTTTCGTAAAATGTAGGAATTTGAATTTAAAAAGAATTCAATTTTTCTTTAATAAAATGGAATTAATAAATTATGAAGGTACCTGGGCGAGGTAGGTTACAAGACCTCGAGAGTTAGATGGTTAAGATGTCATTGAATTATTTATTTCTTTGCCTATACTGGTACCATCTATGTCCCAGATTGTTATCTTGCATTCTGGTATTTTTTGGGTTTCATTATTTTTAATAAAATAAAACGCTTAGTAACACTTATTAGATATTTTATTGAATTTGTGCACAAATAATACATACCATAATCTCAATATATTCTGAAACAACTCTTTTCAGAGCTCATTTCAAAAGTACAACAAAAAATAATTAATAACATCAAATATTATTAATATGACACATAAATTACCTTAAAAATAATATATATTTTATTTCATTACAGGTATTATAAGCTACCTCTCTTTAACGAAATAATGCCTTTTTAAACTTTGTAAAATAGCCATTGATTTGGAGTTGTAATTTTAATAAAACAACCCCAAATATCTACATCTCTAACCTAAGTACAATAAAATGTATAGTAGATTATTTTCGTTTAATAAAAATGTCCAAAAAATTAACAAATTGCACTTGGCTCAATATTTTTTTTTATTGCACGTATCCGAATTAGATCAGAGTATTTTGTTAATAATTATTGCTTTTAATATTTTATAGAATCAGTTCGAGAAAATTATTCGAGAACGTGGACGGAAAATATGAGATTTATTTTCATTTTATATTCAAAAAATGATATTCTATGTCAGATCTAAAAACTAGATTAGTGTATTATTAATTTATTGAGTAAGTAACTTCAATATGTATTTCTAGAAGTATCCAAATATTTTTGTTTTTATATCGGTGCATTCTCACGAGGTTGGTATAAATTATTGTTGTTGCGTAATAATTCTGTGGTTTAGTGTTTAACCGCCAATGTTCATTTTCCATGTTTTTAGAAATGTCACTCGTATCGTCTTAACCTGTTATTTTATTCGCGAACATGACTTCTTTACAAATAACCAAAATCTAGAAAGTGGCCTAAAATTGACACACAATTTATTTGTCAACCGATATAAAATGGCACGTGCTCATATATCAACTTAGGAATTAATTGTGCAGTTAGTAAATGATTAAACAAAATCTTGTTCCTTAAAGGACCCAGTTAAAAACAGTGCAGGCTTTAAAACATTCTCGACAAAGTGAAATTTAAAAAGTATGAAAAATTAATTGATTTCACATTTAAATTGCAGCATTAAAAGATTTTAATAAAATAAAATAGTTGATTTGATTTCTAAAACAACGAAACTTTTTCTAACATCAATTTCTGATCCTGTGGAAAACCGAATTAAAAATATTTTAAAAATTTATAAGAAAATAGACAAAAACAAGTCTGCTGTACGTTATAAAAATGTCAAAAAATATTTGGATAATCTGAATTTATTTTAAGGATCATTTCATGCCAATTTATCCAATTTAAACAAAATATATACAAAGTGTCTCATTAGTAATGGGACACAGAGCAACTGAAGATTATCTGACTAAAAATAAGACGATTAAATGAAACATTCATAGATAAAATTTTACTGGTTTTTGAAATACAGGGTGTTTAAGTTGAAAATTCAAAAATCATTAATGATATTTTAATTTCTCAGTATAATTTTACTAAATTCGGTAAACATTTTTGGTGTTATAAGATACACCAATCAGCAAAACAATCAGTTGAATAAACTTTGCCAGTGGCGTACGGCATGGATAAGTAACATCTTCATTCCCTCTAAATTTTACTTTAACATATTTTGATGTTTTTTTTTTTTAATAAATCATGTACTCTTGTTAGGAACTCATACATTTATTGATTTTCGAGATATTCACACTCAAAGGTGGAAATTCCTCATTTTAATTATTTTTTATAAAATTATAGTGAGCAAACATTTTTGATACACCTATCATCAAAAAAATCAGTTAAATAAACTTTGCCAGTGCCGTACGGCATGGGTAAGTAACACCTTCATCTCTTCTAAATTTTACACCACTCCAAAAACTTATTTAGACTATAATTTTGAATTTTGTCATATACTCTTGTTGAGAATTTATAAAAAAATCAAAAATTAAAAAAAATTCACTTTACGAGTTCTCAATAAGAGTAAATGATTTATTTTAAAAACATTAAAAAATGTAAAAAAAAATATAATCCAAGTAGGTTTTTCGGCAGTGTCGTAAAATTTAGAGGGGATGAAAGTGCTCCTTGCCGTACGATACTGGCAAAATTTATTCAACTAATTGTTTTGCTGATAGGTGTATCTTATGAAACCAAAAATGTTTTCCGAATTTAGTAAAATTAAAAATAAAAAATTAGAACCATTAATAATTTTTGAATTTTCAACTTTAACACCCTGTATTTCGGAAACTAGTAATATTTTTAGTAATATTTTATCTAAGCATGTTTTGTTTAATCGTCTTATTTTTAATCAGAGAATCATCAGTTATTCTGTGTTCCATTCTTAAAGTATATAAAAAAGATTGGTAATTACTTATTGAAAATTAACTATTAAATTTCTTAAATATATGTAAAAAAATATGAATAATAATTGATTAAAAATTAAGAACTCTTGGAAAAATAAAGAATTGAAAAATGCTAGAACGACTTTTTAATAGTTTTTGAAAAGATTATTTGAATATCAACTTTGTTTTTCTAAAATGGCTTTTTGAATGATTTGATATGGAATGATCCAAAAGAAAAAAAAAATTTATTTTGAAACCCTGTTATCCCCAAAAATATTTTCAATAATTGAAAAAACATTTTGAGCCCCCTGTAATTTTCAAATTTTGGCTTATCTAAGACATAAAAATTCTAAAGAAAAACGTTATAGTAGATTCATTTACATAAATATATAATATATAAAAAATGTAATAATTTGATCATCGTTTCTAGGTTTATTTAAATAACATCGTTGGCACTACAAGGCACTTTTTAATCTGAATATATAGTGTGAACCAATGAAATGCAAAAAAATTAACTTTAGATTTTTTATGGAAGATTTAAGCGAGTTTTTTTTTATTTGTAATATGTGTGTGTCCGCAGGTTTTAATTTTTTTGATAAATTTTCTAAATTATCAATTCAATTTCCACTAATTTTTTAACCAAAACATTTTGATATACTGTAGTTATTAAATTAAACTGTAAAACGTTAATAATAGTTACTAATTTCATCTTTAAATCAAAGTTGATACATGTGTATTGTTCTGAAGAATATGAATTTAAAAAATAAATAATAGTTTTCTATTTAACATCAAATTTTTCTTTTTAAAAATTATTAAAAACACATCTTTTGACAAAGAACCCAAAGTATATTTTTCTACGATTTAGTTGCGTACTTAATTTAAACTAAATCTAATTTATATTAATTTAATTTTAAAATATAGTGAACATTGATGTTATTTAATTTAAACCTTTATTAAATCTATATTTTAAGTCACTTAATAAATACATACCTTAAAGTTTATATTGCAAAAATTACAGCTTCTTACCTGACCAAGAAAACTTGATAAGTACAACTATGTATAAAAACCAAAACAAAAGGATGTGTGTAGAATAGTTTCTTGGCATCAGGTATGGGTTCTTTTATAATTGTTGGTGTACCAATAAAAAATACTTGATTTTTTTATAAATACGTAGTGAGTTTTACCGTTTACAATTTTGTTATTGTTTATACCTCGGAAATTGTTTTTCTCAATATGAATTTTTCAATATTTTACCCAAGCATAAAATCAAAACAAAATCACTTTAATTGTTCAATGAAGACTGGGTATGAGCCATGACTATTTAAATTTATGAATGAATATCTACACTTCATCAAATGTTTAACAAAATTTATCTAATAATCATGAAAAACAAAATTTGGATAAAACGATACTTTAGTTAAAATTTGTAAAAGTAATAAATATCTCTGATGCCACTAATTTCTAAATGTAAATTGCTTACCTTTATTAAATCAGTTTTTCTACTTTTTTTTAACTACCCATACATTTTGCTTAAAATTTTGAAAAATATTAACATTTTTGGCAATATTACATTTTGTGTAAAATATAATCTTGTTTGCAATTGCATGCGTTATTAAATTGCAATTTTAATTAAATAATTGTTCAGAAACGTGAGTTCTATACTATAACAATTTGTATTTGAGGGTGCTTCACCTGCAAAACACATGTTATTGCCGGCCGACTAAATGCAATTCGCAGATGAGTCACTCCCAAATAAAAATTGTTATATTACAGTAAAATATTTTCTGAAGTAGATATTTTGCAGTTATATTTTTATATTTTTCAAATAATATTATTATTATTAAAGATTAAGATTTTATATTTGGGTAAAAAATTCATTAGAATAATTCATATCTTAAAACTACGCCAATTTATAATTTATGTATGAAGTATACTCTGTTTAAGAATTCAAATATTTTGTGTAATGGCAAACAAAAAATGTTCTACAGCAACTTATTATAGGATGCTTATTCGGATTTAATCAAAATATTTAAAAATTAACTGTAAAGTAACTAATAATTTACCAATTTGGCAAAAATGAAATTTAATTATTTTAAAAATTTGGATCTCCATTGGTAGTGATACAAACACGATCGACATATTAGCCTTAGAATTTCACATCTATACACCCATATAGTGGTATCATCTTCATGAATTTTTTATCGGAACACCACTGTAGTTTCTTTTAAAAGTATTGTTGGCACTCTAGAAAAACAGTTTGTACTTCACAGAAAATATTATGAAGATATTAGTAATATTATTGATTAAAAAATGGATAAATGCTATCCACCCTACATAGTGTACAAAAATGTTCGATAAGTAAAATAAATCCAAGTTGCATAACTAAAGATTTTTTGAGATTCAGAAAGAGTATTTTTATCTTCTACAAATATACAATCTGGATTTATTTTTTAATAGTTAATTTGTGTGTGCTAAATGCCTCGATAAATATATATTATCACTTTATTCTATAAATTAAAAATATTTTCCTAAAAATATACAGAAAATATCAACTAAATCCAAAAAATATGAAACATTAAAAATGTTCCTTAACTCTTTCATTTTTTAAAATTTATTCTTCATATTTATTTTTAATTATCTCCAAAATACAAATTAATACAAGTTCAGACTACAATAAAATGATTTTTTCAAGGTTGCATATTTAAATTCTTTTTAATTTCAAGCAACTTTTAAAATATTGTCAAAATAAAGGAATTTAATTGTTCTGTTTAAGAAAATATTTTATTATACTACAATTAGTTACTTTTTTTATGCACTAAATGTATATTGGAGAAAAATCAGTAATATTAACATTATTTAAAATGTTCGTATATTTTTTTAGTAGCTGTTCCACATCTACAATTAACTAAAAATGAAATTTTTTATAAAAAATAAAGACGTTTCCTGAATCTAAAAAATAAAACAAATATTTAAAAACATCGTTTTAAAATTGCTTTACAATATTAAGAATTAAACGAAAACTATTCATACATATAAATACTTTAAGGCATTTAACACAGAACTAGTATGCTAAATAAGGTTAAGATACAAAACGAGTTGTAGCAACATTGAGTATGAGATGGTATGTATGCGATTCTTTTAAAAAAATTAATTTATTTTAGTAAATAATCAATTTCTTGTTAAAATCTAATATTTAATCGAACTTTTGACTAAAAGGTGAAGGTGGTTAACTTTTTCATTTTCATGCTTTTATTTAAATCCTGCAAACCTTCTCAAGTACATTTTTAGCGAATAAATTTGTAAATGACGTATTTACATGATATGAACATAAAAGAAAATGTTTGCCTACACTTTTAAAAACAAAAAATAAACCATTTTAGAACACAATTCAATTTATTTAGATGATAATGGCTATATATTTTTTTGTTACAGAAAACCTCAAACTTTTATACATAGCTCTACACCATACACATCCTATACTCCAAATTACTACCGTTAAATTTTTAGTATACACGATGACAAAAAAAAGTGAATCGCTGTTAGTGATGTAAATGGTTAGACATACCGCTACCCTTGAAGTTGGTCCGGCGCTTCCGAGAATTTTTTTCGTTAGTCGAAGGATTGGCGCAGAGGGTTGTGTGGGGTGTGTTTGTGACGAGGGGGTTAGCACTCCACAAAGCCTAAGGCCGGCCAACCGAGTTAACAAGAAAAGAAAAGAAAAACAGTTTGTTAGTAATTTTGTAATAGCTGATCCACGACACAATTTTATTATTTTTTTTTTTTTTGATAAATATTTTAAAGGTTATCTAAAGTCGTTGATGGTTTTAGTAATATTTTGCTAACCTTACCGTAGGTAGTAATGAGGAATAAACTTACATCGATTAGAGAAGCATTTTTTTACCAAAAATAAATATTCCTTGCAAAACTAATTTTACAGTATCTTTTTTTTTTTAAATCACAAACAAAAAGTTTATTTTTAATATAAAACTATCCATAAACAAACATTACTGTTGCTACTGCTTTTTTTCATAAAGTAAGTTTTTTAACAATAGATTGTTTCTTTATTTTCCAAAATTATGTACATTGTAAGACTTAAAAACAACATTAAATATTAATGTTAAGTTTAAAAGTACTTATTTATTAGAAATATTTAAATTATATTAAAAATAAATTGTGCTTTTTAAAACATTACAATTTGACATTATTTCATGTATCTAAACCACCATAGACTACTGAAACCATTGAACAAAATTTAATTATTTATTGTTCAATTAATATTTTTTTTTATTTTAAATCTTTTTGTTTTTCTTCAATCCTTCCAATTTACTAATATATAATCGATTATTATTTTAAAACCATTGAGATTTTTAATTTAAATTAAATTGTATTAAAATTATTCATTCAAACTGGTTAGGTTTGAACCAGAGATAACAGGAGATGTAACTATTAACAAATATCGTGCGGTCCTGAATAAGACATATTCTAAGGGACACAGGAGGGTATAATATCCGCTGTTGTCACATGCCTATTTCATTATTCTCGTTTTGTTCACAAAATTATTTACATATATTAAAAAAACTAAGATAATTCAACCTATTTTATAGCAACTGACCCAAAAAATTTGAATCATTAGTTATATCAAATTTAACTAAATTAGATATAATAATTTTCAATAAACTAAAGTCATGTTAGGTTGGAAGTGACAACAGGTTATACACCGGCATGGATATTTACGTTGTTTATTATCAGCGCACAGCGTCTTACACATTTATTCATTGATAAAAAAAGGTGTATCTACGTAAAATTCTCTTTATTCCCTCTCTTACTTCTCACCTTTCGTCTCCTCGCCGCGTCCCTATAAATAGAGCGCGTATTGATTGTCGAATTAATTTTGGCATCGTGGATATTATATTTTATCAATGAATGGTTATATCTCTGTTATCTCTGGTTTGAACTAAAATCAATTAATTTTATTTTTCAAAATATTCCTGTATTTAGGTGATATTTTGTCTTCCTAGTTCCAAAATTTCATTGTTAATGTAGGCGTAGGCCATTGATCGAGGTCATCCAGCCATTGTAATTATTTGTTTAATTAGCAAAATATTACAGCAAACTATTTACGACTTTATATAAACCTTAGATAATCTCAGTGTCAATTGTTCCTTATCTGATAAAGACAAAATAATTTATGGTTAAAATTAAAAATATTTTTTTTAAACTAATATTTTCATATATTAAATGTTTAAATGTTTTTTTTTTAAATAGATATCTAAATATAATTTTTTAACGTTTTCTTCAGCCAGGCAAGGTTCTAGTAAATGATACGTTAAAATTAAATGTTCCATTAGTAGATTTGGTTTCAGAAAAAGAGGATAAGAGCATTATATTGTAAATTCTTAAAAAAAGTAAAAACAGTTCGTAAAGAAATGAAACTTTCACGCAAAAAAACTGATACCAGAGTAATCAAAGTTTTTTTAATATGATTTAGGGTCACAAAATTTCTAACAAGAGGGGTTATACTATTTCCTAAATAGTCAAAATATGTTTTGGTAGTCAACTACTTTGGATTCATCAAGATCAACAACTCGGATGTTATTTTTATTGTTTGGTGGAAAGACATGGCATAAATCATACGATTGATGTCCTAAGACCCTCCATTTTTGTGTTGGTTTAAAATTAAAAACATTCGGATGACACTACTTAAATTTAAATTTTGGTTGTATTTTTGAATGTGAAAATATTGGTTTCTTGCTTCACTTTGAGATATTGGTACATATAATTAATTAAAATAATAAAAATTGATATTTAAAAATACGGAAAACTTTGTATGAATAGCACGAAAAATACGGTGCAAACAAGTCACCAGAAGTTCCACCACCATTACGAAAAATTAACTACCCGTTTTGGTATTAAACGTTGAAAAACAGGTAATAAAATATGTAGGAATGCAAACAATTGAATGAATAAGTAATTAAATTGAAAAAAATGCACGAAATTACTAAGAAAATTCCGAATAAGATATGAAGAATTCAATGTACATGATGATTGATGATCTAACGCTACTGGTCAATTTTAACAAGACCAACCTGCAACATGTGAGTTTAAGAGATAACGAATTCGAGGTTTGCTAAAGAGAAAGTATTTCCAATTTTCAACAATAATCTAGTACAAGCAACGAGATTTGTTAACATGTCACAAAAATGACAAATTACAGAATAAATACTATATAGACAAAGATGTGTGTCAATTCTTTATCGTTTGGGAATAACTAGTGATAATTAAATACTAATACTATCACTTAAATGCTTAGTTTGCTTATCGTAACTCGGTAATATAAAAACTGATTAATATGTTAAAAAAAAAAGGATAGAAAGTTAATGAGTAAAATTATTTATGAAACCAGACTTACTACTGAAATTATCCTGATGTGTATCATTATGAAAGACTCACCTTGTCAAAGTAATAGACAATTGGGCTGTAAATTTAAGACATATCCTTCTGAGGTAATAAAATTGTGGAAAATTAAGGTTAAAAAGCATTTTTTAGACATACATGTAGCTTGTTAAAGAATATACACCCTAGTTAGAAGTTAAAATAATTTAATCAGAATACTGGTAAATATTTTAACTCAACGTCCTATTTGAAATTTATCCAATTGGAATATTTCAAATAGGCGAATAATTTTGACAAATACCTACACCCTTTGTAGCTAACGAAAAAATAATGGTTTTCATTAATCGATTTTTAACATGCAATTGATTATTGTGAATAAAGAAAAATGACACTGAGATTAGAGCAAATATTACATACAAGTAAGTATAAAATATAACCTAGGCAGCAAAAGTGTGAGAGTGTTCTATATTAGAAACTATATTAAAAAAATGCGTGCAAGAAATTTGAGAGAATTTGAGTGTAAAGTATTTCGAATAAACCAATATATACGCAAATGCCTATTCTTTCAGATTTTTACTATTTTCTATTTACTAAAAACCCATACTAAATAAAATAGTCATTAAACTACTGAAAGGGAGAAATGCCTAAGGAAAAAATTTAGTACTTTATGATCAACAGAGATTTATTAATCTTCCCTTACGTTACTTATGAATTTTTAGCTGTTATCATTAGAAACAATTTAAATCCATTCTATAATATAATAGTAACTCATAAATATTTGCATATAAGAGTTTCATTAAAAAGTAATATGGTTAATCTTCGACATTGGTTTATTCAAATGTACTTCTAAAGAAATTCCAAAATCTTAGAAAAACTTTTTTATATAATAATTTATGTTTAGATAAAACTTGTTTAGAATCAATAATTTTTCTATGATTTTCGGTATCTTCGACTGATAAAAATTCTTTCGATATTAGAAAAGGCAAATTGTTATTTGTACTGTACAAAAAAATGTTAATGCAATTTTAATATAGTGCTATATGGAACACAATCATACGTTATATATTCATCATTCATCCATAAATTAGTGAACTTGGCCAAAATTGTGGAATTAGAAAAGTTATGAATTACTTGTGAGTGTTAATAGCAACAGTTAATAACTAAAAATATATATAAGATTAATAATTTAATGTTAACTATAGTTTGGACGTTTCGAAGCGTCCAGTTATTAAAAATAAGAAATATTCGGGGTCCAGAAATAAAATAATTTTCTTAATTTCGTATAAATATATTTTGTTCCACATTGGCGCAAGTCAACAAAACAACATACAAAAAATATACTATAGAAAGGTATATAAAACTACTTAAACTGGGTTTAAATTTCCATTCTAACAGGTCTACCATAAATAATGAAAGAACAATAACATTATTTAATAATTTATATTTTATAACATTTGATTTAATTATACGGGTGGCACAAAATTGATCGAAAACATTTGAACGAATGCATTTGATCGAAAAAAACATTTTATCGAATAACAATTGATCGAAAAGAAAAATGATTGAAAAGAACAACCAAATATACATAAAATTGGAAAAAATAAAAAATTCATCCAATTTATCTATCCTGTGCGGCCTAGAACCATCCTGGTTGCTTCACAAAAAATATACAAGAAATGAAAAAAATAAAAAAAAAACGAATTTACCTAACCTGTGCAAAAGCAATCATTTAAATGTAATGGTGCCAGGCCACAGAGCTTAGGTATATTAGTTAAGTTTTTTATTTTTCTCTTTTTTGTTTATTTTTTTTTGCGAAGCAACTTTCGACGGCTCCAGGCCGCACAGGTTAGGTAAATTAGTTGAATTTTCTATAAAAAAAACTTAATTAATTTACCTAACCTGTCAGAGAGCAATCAGTAAAATTTGAATGGCTCCAGGTCGCACAGGTTAGGTAAATTGGTTAAGTTCTTTTTATTTTTCTTATTTTTTGTTTGTAAAGCAACCCTCGACGGCCACAGGCTTAGGTAAATTAGTTATGGTTTTTTTTTGTATAATAAATACATATTTTGTACGAATTAAATAAATAATCGTTTAGCTGTGAAAATATTAATTTGTAAATTAACAGTATTTCAAGAAAAACAATTGTCATTAGTACCTACCTAATTTGACGATAGCCGCTGAGTTTAGTTTCCTCAGTATGTCATTTATTTTTTTTATATTTTACTATTTTTAATGTTGGTTTTCGATATATTGTCCTTTTAGATCAAATGAATTTTATATATATTGTCTTTTATTCGTTAAAATATATCTTCGAGTAAATGTTATTCAATAAAATGTATCTTCGATAAAATGTATTTTTGATCAAATTTCTAATTCAATCAAATGTCTTTCAATCAATTTTGTGTCACCCTAATTATACATATGAAAAATTATTTATGTTACTAGTTTTTGTGATACAAGGTGTCAAAAATAGAAACCAAAAATATCCAGCAGTAAAATATTTATTAATATTTATTTAATCAGTAACACACAAAGAAAAAGTAGATGTGTTTTTTATCAAGTTGTTGGCTACATACATTTTTGTTACTCATTCTTTATTTAATATTGAGCTATTTAAGAATCAATTCATATTTTTTTATTATAAACTTTTATGTCTTGTATCACTAAAACTAATTAAATTGGGAGCCGCTTTTTAAATATAATTTTTCATAATTTTGAAATTTCTTTACTGCTTCGTTTCTTTTAAGAATACTAGGTTTTCATTTTTTCACTTCAAGATTAAATAAGTGTTTGAATAACTGAATATTCGATAAAAAAGCAATAAAAAAATGGTAAGAATTCTGTAAGAATGAGAAATGTAAACTCATACCTAAATATATCCCATAAAAATCGCAATGAGAGAAAATAATGCAATTTCCATGAGTTCCTATAATACTAAAATTCAACACATCTTTTCAAATGCCGCTTATATATATTTTTTTGTTCCATAGAGTACGTGTACAAAAGGAAAGAAGGACTTACACAATGACGTAAAAATATATTCAAAATAAATAAATACATATGTAAAAATATAAAAAAATATGTATAAAAATTTTTAGACTAGCTATCACGTGATGTGACGTGTGATGAGGTACACAGTGTATAATAAAGTACGGACTTCCCTAAAAACTAAAATGTCTCAAGCAAGGCAAAAATTACACAAAAAAAAAATATTAAAATTCTTTTAATGCTAGAATAAAGTTAATTTTATCACCGGGCTAAGAGAAATTTTCTGCATTTCTTTTAATAATAATTACTGATAAAATATAATTAATTTTTAAAATAACGAAAAAATTATTATTTTAATAAAAACATATACAATTACTTAAAAAATACAGCTTATGGTATAAAAAATGCCTTTCTTTAAAAAACGTCCTTATAAATTAAACGAAATATTTTGAATCTAATTAAAACCTAAAATAAGTCATTTATATTGCTTGGTAAAACGTTTAGTTCTGTCAAATAACATCTATCACAAAAAACCTTATTAAATACTTTTAAAAAAATGTGTGCTAAAACTTTGGATCAAGAAGATGTTTTTGTAAAAATTTTACAATATTAAACATGTAAATGCGACATATATGGCATCGAAATGAAATTATGAAGCACTGGGTGTTAAATTATCAAACTTTTTTAACCGATGAGCTGGTATTTTTTCATTATCCGTTCAACAAAATTAATAAAAAAAAAAATATATTACACCAACTGTGGTGTATAAAAAATACATTTAAATAATTTAATAAAAAACATGTATTTTTGCCTTGTCCCTAAATATGGTAACCTAAACTTCTTTATGAAGAAACTAATCCTTCTTTCCTCCACATAAAGAAATAAAAGAGAAAATTTGCGGAGCGTCTAAAAACTAAAAACGACTAAAAATTGTACGTATAAAGAGTGCTTTTCTTCACAACCCGCATAAAAAAGTGTACACTCAATACTGATAAAACTGCTAAAAAATTTCGCGAATAATTATCATAATTGTTTAGCACGCGTATTCCTTTCATTATATTACATGTAGTGTCAGTTAGATTTGCTAAAGTTTAGAGATTTTTAAACTTCTGCTAGTCTATTTTGTTTTGCATTAACTTCACAAAATTTTCAAAAGTATATTTAAAAATAAATATGAAATGAATCTAAACAAATGTTTGTCGCATTTGTTAGAAACTAATTTGTTTAACAAAAAAATAATAAATATAGATTCGTCTGAAGTCTAAATGTAAAAATTCAGTATTGAAATTGTAACTTTTTCACTATTAAATTCTGTAAAAAATTTTAAAATTATGTTACAGATGATGTATATTTTCTAATAATGTTCTTAATCAAAATAAATTGTTTCAAATTTAGACTTGTGAAGCAGATGCAAAGATAGATCTCTGTTCAACATTTAAAAAACTCACTATGGCCTAACTGATCCTATATACAACTAAAGTTCGATAAATATCTAAAGAGTATAAAATTAGAGTAGATAAATAGTATATAGACCACATTGGTTTTCATGGGGACGAGCATCTGAAATAAAATAGAAAAGAAAAAACAGTCAACTAACCTTGTCAGTGATTGGGGTATTTATGAGAGCGCTCCCGCTCTTTGGTAGGGGTGCTCCCTAATTTGTCCCAACCGCCGCTGTTTCGCAGCCACAGCTGCCGCACCTATACAGACCATTGTTCATTATATTAATTTTTTATCCATCTTACACAATGCAGTCTCCCATTTTATGGAAAAAATTTAACGAATAAAGCTAACAAGTCATTGCGAATGTTCGTCATATTTAGCTTTACACAAAAGTTGAAAGGTTTTATTTAGGATTCGTTTCATTTTAATTTATATTTCGAAAACGTTTCAACTTCATCTTTTAGATAATTTACTAAGCTTAAAAGAGTGATGTATATAGCGCAAATAGCTTCTAATATTTTTATACATTTTTAAATTAAATGGATCCAAAAACTATTTCTAAATTTTTGAATATGTCATGAATTGTCGCTGTAATGTTTCAAGGATAAAAATAAATCCGTATATAAATTTTTCAAAAAAAGGTTACTTGCATTTGTTAATGTTGCTTATAATGATACTGTATAAAAGGTACGACGGGAGCCTAGAAAAATCGACATTACACATTTCCCTCGCTAGACGTGTGCTATAGGTGATTTATCACTTTTTTTAAACTGATTTACAAGTAAAAATATAATTTTGTATTCTGTTGGGGAAAATGCGATTCAAGCTGTTGTTATACTATACAGGTAGTCTACAAGAAGTGGCGGTCATACGTGCCCCCCTTGGCCAATACCAAACTGAAAAAAGTCAACAAAGGAAATACAATAACGGATTTAAATTTAAAAAATACCATTATATTAATTTAAGAAATGATTTAATCAGCCAATCATTCATTGATAGGCATTAAGATTTAAAAAAATACGACTAGACAACTTATTCGAAAGAGAAAAGGTCATTTTTTTTGTAAAATATTGTTTTTTTAACCGACTTCAAAAAAGGAGGAGGTTATCAATTCGTCGCGATATTTTTAAAAAAATCAACCAAACCGGCAGTTACAAAGCTTACTAGTAGATAAACCTGTTAAAAAATCGTCAATTTACTTGGCAATGATTGGGTATATCTACTTGAAATAAATAAACAACACAGATATTATGATGAAGCTGTTTTTGAGAGCTATCAATTTTTTAATAATATTATAGTCGGTAATCGTTCGGTAGAGGTTAGAAATTTGCTGGATATCGTCAGATGTTAGCAAATTCTTGCAAATATAAATTTGTTGAAGGTCTTTTAGATGAAGATAGCTTTATAAACGATAGAAATCGTAGATAAGTTTATTCGCTTTGGAAATGAAGCTGTAGACAAATTCTTAGAAATTCGTCTAAGATAGAAGATATACCTCTGGAACGAGTTACATTAATTTATATTAGCAAGAGAATCAGAATGAGCTGGACTAAGTATTTTAGTAGATATGGTTTTTGATGAAACCACAAACATACATATATACAGTGTGGAAGAGTCTGGAAACGCTTAATTAAAAACAGAAACTTACAAAATTTGGGTATTGGGGACGGTGATAACTGTTTTGTTCTTTGCAGATTGGTCGTATTTCCAATATTTTGTCACTTTTTAAATGCAATATAAAATTTAAAAAAAAAAAAAAATCTCAAGTGTTTATCCCTAGATAAAAAACGAGGAACTACCGTTTTATACTTATTTGAAATTACCCTAATTTTTAGAGGTAAGTTAATGAATGGATATATGAATGTGAGTAATTGTTCATTTTTCAATTTGTGTTATAGACACGCAAACAAGTTATATGAATTTAAAAAATACATATTTAAAAAATATACAGGGTGTTACGTTTTTGCCTGGCAAATAAAAATGTATATTTTTTTAATTAGAATACACCGTATTTTATTTCGGTTTTAGAATAGTCTCGTAATACTGTATTTAATCCAAGAGTGTTTTTAAAAAATATTAAAGGGTTGCCAAACAATTCCTTTTTTGGTGAAATTAGAGAATGATGCAGACCCCCAAATTAAATTATCATAATTTAGGTAGGTTATCAATGATATCAAAATTGTTTAAAATACAGTCGCCAAGCTAAGGAATGGTGGTGATAAAACTGGTTTATTTTATACAGAGTGTTTTGAAATATGTCTAATATGGCTAAATTTACGTTCAATTTACTCAATTTTTTAAAATGCAAGACCCTATATAGCGATACCAACATGTTAGCCAATTATACATATAAAGGGTGTCCCATCAGTGCGTAATTGATCGAAATCTGTTTTATTATTGGAAATACAAAGAAATTTGTAATATAAAAGTTATATGACCATATTTAACAATTATTTTTAAATATACTGGGTGGTCCATAAACGAGGGGCTGACCAAACTTATACACATATTTTATTCTTTTCACATCGTCAACCAATTTTAATAGACTTAATTTATATGCTATGTTGTATATAGGGTGTGTCAAAACGCTAGGTTACGATTTTCTCAATTTTTTTAAATGAAACCCCCTGTATGTTTTATCACTAATTAATTAATTTATTTTCTTTCATATTGTTTTGCATTCATTCCTTATACCGAAACACATTTTTGAATTTTTTATTTGATTTACAATAGGTTAACAAAAATTTTAGGCATATTAGCTCGACTTTTTTGCTTTTAATTGACAAAGTTTAATTCGTAATTAATAATTCAAGTGGTCTCTTTGTTACAGTCCTTGATTTTCAACTGTAATTATCCATATATGTTTTAAAATGTGTAACCTAGAGCTACTAATGGTAATGAGTACAAAAACATTTTAATTTTTAGAGGAATTCAATTTAAAATAGGATTGTTTTAATTGAAGAATTAGGAAAATCAATTAGATCTACCTATTTGTAGTTTTGTAACTGACCAAGGTTTCTAAAACCAATTAGAATTAGAAAATTAATTTTTATAATAAAACCATCAAAATTTTGAGAAAAATTGCGTTTGGGCATAGGGAATGCTAAACAAAATTAAAAATAAAGAAATTTATTTATAAATTGTAACATACAGGGTATTGCATTTAAAAAAAATGGAGAATATCGTAATCTCGCGTTTAGGCACACCCTGTATACATCATAGCAAATAAATAAAAATACAAAATATTTTAGGAATTTTAAGTCTATTAAAATTGTTAACGATGTAAAAATAACCTAAATGTTATCCAGATTGTTTCGTTTAAAAATTTGGTCCACCCCTCATTTATGGACTATCCTGTTTATTTAAGAATAACTGTAAAATATCGTTCAACAACTTTTGTATTAAAATTGTCTTTGTATCTCCAATAACAAAACAACTTTCGATCAATTCAGCACTGATGGGACACCCTGTATATTTATAATGTTGGTATCGTTGGATAGGTAAATTTAATGCTAAAAAAATATACAGGGTATTGCATTTGAAATAATTGAGTAAATTGAATTTAAAATGAGCCATATTTATTACATGTTTCAAAACACTCTGTATGAAATAAACCAGTTCTATAATCACCATTCGTTAGGTTTGTATTTTATAAGCCTGTAGTTTAAACAATTTTTAAATCATTACCTAAATTATGATAATTTTATTTGGGGTCTGTATTTCTTTAATTTCACAAACAAATGAATTGCTTGGCAAACCTGTAATATTTTTCAAAAATATTTTAGCGTTGAATACGGTATTACTATACCATTATAAAACTGAAATAAAATACAGGATATTCCATTTAAAAAAATAGACATTTTTATTTGCGAGGCGAAAACGTAACATTCTTTATATCCAAAAATATCGTAAAAATATGTCTTTTTCAAATTCAGTTATTGAGCAATTATACATTAATGTGAAATATCGAATTAGGATTGTAAAAATGAAAATATTTAAAAAACTAAAGGGTTTAAAAAAGGCCAAATCTGGCAACAAAGAAAATAAAATAGGAATTGGTATGTCCTAAAACACCCGCATCCCAAATTTTGTAGGTTTCTGGTAACCAGTTTTCAAGAAAATTTTACTTTTCTAGACTATTCTTCCACTTTACATATTCCAAAGATCGCAGATGCTTAGATACGTGGACGATAATGAAATCAGAGATTTTGTTAAATTTGTAGATTACTATGTCATATCACGTTTCCCAATGAAGTAATATAAAACTTAAGTACCTAGTTTGTGATCAGTCATCTAAAAAGAGTTGTTTAAAGAAGCAAAATAAATTATTTCGTCATAATTTGTTGGCAACCTAAATTTAAAACTCTAAATGAACATTTTCCCTATTCATCATCCAAAATTAGATATATCGTAATCAATAAAGAATTAAATATATGCCCGCTTTTCATTTGAACCCGAAGGGATATGACCGGCACTGCCTGCAAAGTAGCTGATCTGAGTAAAACAAATGGTTTTTCAGTTTGTTGTTGTTTAGGAGTATTTTAGAAGCAATGGTCAAAAACGGTATGACTCATTTGCTCCGTCCTCCCTATTCACTCGATATCACGCATTGCAGTTAATTTGAAATGTTTGGTTGCTTTTTGAATCAAAGCAACAAAACGATTTCTTGATACTAGTCAAGAATATATGTACAGATTAGAAAATGTTATATTTACAAAGATTGCTAATTTTATTTAACGCGTTCACTATTTATTTACAATGCCAAAACTTTTTGGCGATATTTGAACGTTGTTTGTAGATACTATTCTCTTTTCATCCGTAGAACCAATGTTTTAGGTATTTTCTTTCTAGAATTCATAAGAAAAAAATTATAAGTTTTCCCTTCACCTAACTTAAATTTTTTATAGTTTAGAGAGAAATTAAATACTGTTGATACACGAATCTTAATTTAAGTAACCTTTGCCTCCTATTTCTCAAAAGTGTTGAATTTTGTCATCTTATGTTTTATTTTTTTGTATATTTCTAAGAGTTCCAAGTAACAAATAATAGTTTAAAATATAAAAGTTAATCTTCTAAAAGTATGTTCTCATTGAACTTTTGTGTAAAGCTAAGTGAACACTCAAAACATTCATAATCTATAATAACTACTAATTTCTACGAGATACTACTTTGTAGCTACTGAAAAGAAAAAACAATTAAAGCATTTGATTGTAATAGTTTACCATTACACTAATAATAATTAAAAATAATATGATAC